ATGTAAACTTCTTCCGTCACAAAGGGAGCCGCGCTATCACAGCTGACACTTCAAAGTACTCACCAAGAGAAAAGAGAATATCGGACAACCACGCAGGCAAATTAAACAGGTCGAGTTTTCATTTTACCTTCGTAAACTGGGAGACAATAGTTTCCATAGTAGATGAGTTTACCATGTGGCGTTAAACACGCATAAATTTTTTTCCTGGGCTTTGGAAAATTCTAGAAATCTCGGTCAAACGATCAAGTAACGGCTAGATTGGGCGGGTAAGTACACAGTTCCGCTGGATATGTCGTTTGAATAGCCGATAGAAAAAGTACAGTTGTTTACAGTTGTAATGATTCAACTTCGATGACAAATGGGTATATTTCAAAAACGGTCCCAAAGTGAGTCTGAAATTTTCGCACGGCACCAATCACCGCAGGCGACAACATTTCCTAATAACAGAGTTTTTATAGGACTTTGAAAGTTTAGAATAAAGGGGGTAAGATTCTGAAGATACTATGGTGCTGCGTCGGTGGGAGTAACAATGTAATTTAATGTAAATTAGCCACCGTAAAGAGTTTCAAAGCTGACCTTTCGAGCCAATCCTCCATTCGCTCTGACAAAGGGTAAGAAAAGCAAAACGTTCAGTAAGATTGCGTTACGCGATGGTACAAAGGACAAAGCTGCGAGGCTACAGCGCCGCCACTTTCGCCAGCGATATCTGAGTTTTTTTTCTTTATTTTAGAATACCCCAGGATTTCCGGTTATACCTAATAGGCCATTTTTTTCCGTTTTTGGCAGCACTCGACTAGAACTGAACTCTTACCAAAACGATGTTCCCTTCATTAGGACACTTCTAAATGGGACCTCACAGAACTCATTTTGTGACGAATGACCCGATCTTTTTATTTTCAGATGAATAAGAAAGTTAAGTCAACAACAAAATACGCGTTTCTCCTTTTTTCCCGCCACAACTTCAGAGGGTAAATCAGACGTGAAAAAAATCCCGCTCACAAGTTACTACCGCAAGATTCAATTGTTTCCTACTACAAATTATGATGAAAACGGGTTTGCAATCGATGATCTTGGAAAGGTCATAAAGACGCCGGCCTATGTTTTAAATACTTTTTACTTTTCGAGATCATAAAATGAAGAGAATGTCCCTGCTATGCGTTACCAGGTAAGCCTGAAAATTTCGAACGCCGCTGACAAGACGATAAAGAAAAATTCATTTAATCCAGTCAAGCTTGGGGTCTTTTTCTAGTTTTGTTTTGCGATTTAATTTTTCTCCGCTGCCAAAAGCTCTCACGAGTTACCACCCAGCCATTCGGTTTAGCCACGCAACGGCCTCTTGGATAAAGTTCTGCGTGACGGTACCAAACGACAACTGAAACAAACCACATACCATAACCGCCAACTGTGCTGGACTTTGACAAATTTTGATCTTTTTATAGAATACCCAATTAAGGGTGTCCGCCTAAATATAGGTGACTGAGATCTGGTTTTAGAACGTACTTGATAATAATAACTCTTTCTTAAAATGTTCCCTCTTATGTTCCGAGGCAATTTGAAATAAGGGCACACAAGACTGGTTTGAACTCAACCTCGTTCCCAGGGTCTCTCATACGAGGTAGGTTTGAACTATGGGCACACAAGACTGGTTTGAGGTCACAAAAACCTAGATGGCAAACTTGATTTTTTTACAGACCCTGCCTCTGCTACAGTGTCACAAAGAAAGCCTAAAAATCTCGTATCGCGCTGATTAGACGCGGCGATGAAAATTGTTGTCAATTTACAGTAATGAGTAAAATAATTCAAACAACTTAGTGACGATGTTTGTTTTAACAGCTCCCATGCTCATAACTGTCACGGAATTCTACCGACAGTTTAGTTTTTATAGAGGTCTTCATGCTTTGACAGTTTTGGTGGGGTTCAAGATCTTATTATAGGATACCTCCAGTTATCGGTAGTCAACCTCATTCCCAGGGCCTTTTCCCTGAGTTGGGGTTGGGACCCCACCCCAAGCTAAGGGAAAAGGCTATGGGAACGAGGTTGATCGGTAGTCCTAGAAATAGATTTTTCTGATTTTGCCGTAGTTAATAAAAAATAATTCCTAAAGGGAAGAGTTTTATCCTCAAAACACTTCTGGACAGGAAATAAGCTACGAACAGTTCCTCGTTTTCGGCAAAGTCCGTCGTGTGAGTCCAAAAATCAGAGAAAAATATCGATGTTTAATAGTGTGCTGTGCATAACTCCGGGAGTGAGGAAGGACTTCTCGTAGTCTGAACAAGAACAGACAGCATTGTTCATAGTACAGACGCTGGCTGAAAAAATTATCATTAAAAAAAAAATTATCCGGAGCTCAGAACGTAAAAAAAAAGGTAACTTAACAACAGAAATACCTAAAAATGACGGAATTTGGTTGCAATCAATTGGGCCTGCAAAGCTGTAAACTGATACAGATGTCCTTACAAAATAAACTTTTCTAATAGAGACAATTATCATAGCAGTGCTAAATTGATTTTATGAACAATCAATTATTCAGTTCTTCATTTTTTCATTTTTTCATCTAGCAGTTTCCTCATTTTACTCACTTTTTGAGGTGTTACTTGTCCATATTCGGTTCATTGTTATGCAATAAAAAAAATTACCTTGGCCTAGAACATTCTTGTTTAGACCCTACATCGAGCAATCCGCGCGATTGAAAGCAATTTTCACGGGGGATCTCGATCACGGGGGTAACTAGATTTAGCGGGAAAATATACCAATCAAGTTCAGACCAGATCATGTGACGTCAACATTTCAAAATGGCGGCTGCAAAGGTCAGTAACTTGTATTCTTAGCTCGAAATTTACAATTTTTTGTCGGCTCTTTTCGCGTGTAATTTATCGAGCAGGATCATAATCCCTGAAAATACAAGTTGCAATCAACCATGCTATTTTTTTGTCGGTTCAATCGGAAATCTATGGGAGTAAGCTTTTTCTCAATGCGCAGAACTTGTTACACAGTCTGTGTTTTAATCTGTAATATATGTAATTCTATAGTGATAGCCCAGTTTCCATTATTTACGATCAGTCGTTCGGATTGTCTTAGTCGACCTAAAAAATTGCGAAGTTGTCGGGGTATGACTATTTTTAAAGCACCACGCTGGCTATACTACCTCAAACGAACACATGATCGGGGCGATGAGGTCTTCTAGATGCAAGTGATTCCTTTTGATTTTTCGCGATTAGTCGTTCGACTTGTCGGTGAACTTCAAATTCGTTGTATTGGGATTTCACTTGAGTGAAATACATGTTCACTTCATGAAAAGAAAGACAGCACGTATTTATGTGATAGTTATAGCTTGTCTTTTCCTATCCAAAGGTACCTAAAACTCCAGATAACTCAAACCTTTTTCAAATTTCCCAGAAGGTCTAAGGGAATTATTTCAATATAACCCCAAAATATTCTGAAACGAATCCGTAGTCCCATTTTTTTTTTTTAGTTATGCAGAGTTTAGTCGAGTACATGTACCTCCATCATGAAAGAGAATTCTTTATTTTATGTGTGTCACAGGATGCTGTTGTTATTATTTTGGATGTGGGTCCTTCAATGTGTCAGGCCCAGCCTGGCCATTCTACCTCCCTGGAGATATCTGTCAAGGCCATCAACATGATTATACAAAGAAAGGTATACACTTTTTTCTCTTCATATCATCCATGCATTAGCCATCGCCAGTGTTCTTTGTAGACACAGGTGGTCTTTGCACCAACTTAATTAACCCTTCAGTAATTTTCCTCACTGTCTACTATACAATTCTCAAAATGCTAGTTTGGATAATTTGTTATTGGATTGACTAATTATCCCATAATTGATATTTTTTTTGATTTTCATCACTTGGTTACTTGATATTGTATTGAGAAATTCTGTCTTGCTAACTCATGCGGGAGACAGAGGGTCAAAGCAGCCATTTCTCTTACCCAACGACCTTAGGTATACATGTATTTATTCAGTTAGCATGTTCTGAAACTGACACAAATGATCCATGCTATAGTGTTTCAACTGATTTTTCAGTGAAAGCAAAAAATAATAAAAAAAATTATTTTTCATTCCAGATGTTTGCTAATACAAAAGATGAATTTGCTCTAATCCTATATGGCACTGAAGGTAAGTACTTGTACATGTATATGTTGCTATTCAATACTTGTGAGTAGTTATAGTTCCCATAATCAGTGGCAGATCTAGGGGGGGGAGGGATACAGGGAGCCCAGACCCCACCTCTTATTTTGGGTTAAAAAAGTAAACACAGAGGGAAGAAAAGCCCGCAGGTGAATACAAACAAAAACAGCCCCTCTGCCCCCCCTCCCCTCACTTAGCTCAAGGCCTGCATTTGCCACTGATAATAACAGTAATTTTAGATTTATGATAAATGTTATTCGTCGACAGGAACATCAAACAACCTGAATGACACTAATGGGGACTATCAGAACATTACTGTGGCTCGCAGACTTGGTTTACCCGATTTAGAACTGCTTCGTTTTATCCATGACCAAATAACCCCTGGTAAGTGACATTTTTTGTGAATTTTAGTTTGATTTCTTCTTGGTACATAATTCCATTAAACCTTGAAATCCTGAAAGTGATCAGCATCTAATTTCTCCTTACAATCATAGTACACTGGAACCTCGATTGGGGAGCAGGGATGGCACAGTGGTGAGAGCACTTGCCTCCCACCACTGTGGCCTGGGTTTGATTCCTGGACCTGGCGTCACATGTGGGTTGAGTTTGTTGTTGGTTCTTGTCCCTGCTCTGAGGGTTTTTCTCCTGGTCTTCTGGTTTTCCTCCCTCTGCAAAAACCAACATTCCAAATTCTAAGTCAATCTGGAAACAGTGGACAAGGAAGAGCCACCCAGTGGAATGTCCATTGTTAAATTATTTATTATTTTTTATTTATCAACTATTTATTATTTAAACGAACCTCTCTATAACGAAGTCCTCGGTATAACAAACGATACTTCAGTTTCAGTGCGGCTAAAGTTACAGTAAAATGTATGCCACAGCACCTTGATATAACAAACCCTCCATAAATTATAATGAACCAATTTCCCCAGTCCCTTGGTACTTCGTTAAATCAAGTGAAAGGGATATAAGGGTTAAGAAGAACTACCTTTCTGAAAGAGTATCTTTTTACTATAATTATAAGTGGATGTTAGATTTTATTAGTAGTCAGAGTAAATGTATTTCCATTATCTCTTTGCAGGTAATGTTGAAACAGACTGTATCCTTGCCAACAGACAAAACATTTTGCACTTATTTTTTTGTAATGTTGTATTATTCTCTATTTAACAAATGGTAAACACCACAGCGTACACTATTGAGTTATGGATGCACGTGGGAGGTTGCTAAGCACGAAAGAAGCGTAAGAGTTGCTCGAGGCGATAGCCGAGAGCGACTCTAGCTTCTTGAGTGCTTAGCAAACCTCCCAAGTGCATCCATAACTCAATAGTGTACGTTGTGGTGTTTACCATTTGTTTTATAACATAACATTGATACATTGTAGCTAAAGAGTTCCCTTTTATTTAACAAATCTTACG